GCATGGATGTGTTATAAAAGACTGCTCCATCTTCCCCTTAAATGTCTCCAAATGTCTCCCCTTTTTTTCTTCTTCTTCGCATTGATGTAGACTAAAAATCACAGCTCGTATGTCTTGAAACCGGGAATGAATTATTCACGTTGAAAAATGCTGCTTTGGATTGTTCTGCTGAATGCGGCTCTTTGTGTTGCTAGTGGAAATGTTACAAGGGACGTTTGTAAGGAGCAGATATGCTCTTGCAACGAGATCGAGGGAGATCTGCACATAGACTGCGAAAAAAGGGGCTTCTCCACTCTGCAGCATTTGACTGGCCCGAGCTCGCAGTTTTATCACCTGCTCCTGCACGGGAATTCTCTATCCAGGCTATTTCCCAACGAGTTCGCCAACTTTTACAATGCTGTGAGCCTGCATTTGGAAAACAATGGTTTGCACGACATTGTCCCCGGCGCTTTTCTGGGGCTGCAGCTGGTGAAAAGGCTGCACATCAATAACAATAAGATACGATCATTCAGAAAGAGTACATTTCTGGGGTTAGACGACTTGGAATACCTCCAAGCTGATTTTAATCTATTGAGGGATATTGACCCCGCCGTTTTCAGGGACCTTAACAAACTTGAAGTGTTAATACTTAACGACAACCTCATCAGTGCGCTACCTATAAACGTGTTTCAACATGTGCCCATTACGCATCTCGACCTGCGAGGGAACCGAATCAAAACGGTGCCTTATGAGGGGATCCTCGAGCAAATACCTGGCATTGCGGAGGTTTTGTTAGAGGACAACCCATGGGACTGTAACTGCGACCTGGTTTCTCTTAAGGAATGGCTGGAGAACATACCGCATAACGCACTTATTGGGAGGGTGATATGTGAGGCGCCCACTAGGCTCCAAGGGAGCGACTTAAACGAGACGTCAGAAGTGGATCTGTGCCCTTCACTGAGCGGCGGCGCGGACACCAGCCTGGTCGCCCCTCCCACCCAGGAGGAGACCTCTGCGCCCGTGGCCCATGGCCCGCGTCCCACGCCTTACAAGCCCAATGGAGACGCCAGCGGGCCCCCTACGCCTGGTGGCCACGAAGCCAAAAGCCGCTCCAAATCTCGTGAGAACTGGAAGCTGAAAACAAAGCCAACTCCAGTGGTGACAGGTGTGAATGGAGACAGGGAGCAGCTGCACAACGTGACGTGCCCTCAGCCCTGCAACTGCAGGCTGGTCGGCTCCAGACAAGGGCTGGGGGTCAACTGTGAGGGCAAAAAGATTGAGAACTTATCCAACCTCAAACCCAAGCCTTTGGCTGCCCACGAGCTGAACATGAGAGACAACAACATCCACGCTGTGAAAAAGAACCAGCTGCTCGGCTACACCAGCCTTAACCTGCTTGATCTTGGGGGAAACAACATCAAGGTGATTGACAACAGCACTTTCCAGAACCAGAGCGAGCTCAGGTGGTTGTACATGGATAAGAACTACTTGGATACGCTCATAGCAGAGATGTTCGTGGGCCTCGTGAATCTGGAATATCTCAGTTTGGAATATAACGACATCCAGCTCATAGTGGCAGGTGCATTCGGCCCCATGCCAAACCTGAGGGTTCTGTTCCTCAACAACAACTTGCTGAAATCTTTACCCGTGGATGCTTTCCTTGGGATTTCTTTATCCAAAATTAGCCTGCATAATAATTATTTCCCCTATCTCCCCGTGGCTGGCGTGTTAGACCAGCTCAATTCAATCATTCAGATCGATCTGCACGGGAACCCTTGGGATTGCTCGTGCAACATCGTGCCCTTCAAGCAGTGGACGGAGAAACTGGGGACTGATGTGATCGTGAGTGATCTCAAGTGCGAGTCCCCTGAAGAGTTCTGGAAACGTGATTTCCGCTACGTCCGGAACGACCTCATGTGCCCAAAACTGTATGATAGAATCTCCCCCACCCCCTCGTCCAAAAACAGCACTTTCACCCTGGACTCGGGGACGCGCTCGAACTCCTATTTGGAGCCGAACAGGGTCTCCATCTCGGTGCTCGTCCCCGGGTTGCTGCTGGTGTTTGTCACCTCCGCATTCACAGTCGTAGGGATGCTTGTGTTTATTTTGCGGAATCGGAAGAGGTCGAAGCGGAGGGACGGGAACTCTTCCGCGTCGGAGATCAATTCCTTACAGACTGTGTGTGACTCGTCGTATTGGCACAGCGGGCCTTATAACGCAGACGGAGGCGCGCACCGGGGCTTCGACTGCAGCACGCACCTCTCCACGACTAATGACGCGTAAAAGGGACTCTGCTTGAGTATACAATAAGCCTCCACCAGACTGGATTACAAACAGACACACACAGACAGACTGACAAATGACTAAAAAAACGGAACGAATCATCCGCTTTTTTTTGGGCGAACTCAGACTTGTTTATGTCTTGTTTGGACCAAGTCAGTCAGTCTGCTGCTGCTGCTTCTGCGCACAGGCCCCACTCTGTAATATATGTATATGCCGAGCCCCCCCTGGCTACTAAAAAAAAAAAAAAAAAAAAACCTCCCTCCCTTCCTCTTCCTCCTCCTCCTCCTCCTCCCAGTTCTGCTATTTGCCGCAATCGGACTACGGATCTGTGCGAGACAGAAAAAGGAGCGAGGGGGAAGGAAGGGAGAAGGCGTGTGTGTGTGTCTAAGAGAGAGAGAGAGCGAGAGCGAGGACCCGTGGAATGGTGCACGAACGCATGAATGTAAATGTAAATACTCGGACCGATGTATCATAATCTGCATGATGATATTTCGCATGGTTTCAACACACACACGACGGCGAGGAACCATAACCACCATAACCAACAAAGAAGCAAACTCGACCCTTTCCATGTTATATCAATATGACGACAATATATAGATATTAAGAATTATATATGACTATTACAAAGTGCCATTTCTCTATTTTTTGTGAACCTGCAGTTAGGATTTGTATTTGTTGTTTTAAACTTGTTTGGAGAAAAGAGAAAAAAATCAATAACTGGGAACGACGACTATCGAAAAAGGAGCGATGGAAGTGAAGCTGTCAGTGCATGTTCTTTTTTCTGTTTGTTATCATTTGATTGTCGATAAATATTGGGGTTATTTATACCGTACTAGATGGCGCAGATTAAAACCCACGTCTGCGCAGTCATCATCTCCTTTATGAATGTAAAACTGTGTTATTTTATGGTGTGCCAATTGTTGACTTTCAGATATTCAGACATGCAGATGAGCATGACCAATTAACGTCACTCAGATGCTTATGCTGCAAAGTTAATGTAGCTAAAACAGTTCCGTGGTTTTGTGTGTCAATGAATATAGCCTGCTTTGGGTGAGAGGAAGAAAAAAAAAACAAGTCATTTAACAAAGGGGGGTTTATACCATCATATTTTTTCAACAACTGAGCAAAGAAGTGTTTTCAATTGAGCTATGTAGGTATAATTCGATCTATGTAAGCAGTGCAGGTAGACTGATCTAGAATAGAATGCTTTTTTATGTCAGAAAAAAAAGTATTCCTCTTCAAAAAAGCTTCTGGCTATGATTCACTTTCATCATATTGTGAGCTTTTGTAAAGCCATCTAATCTTGTCCAAATAAGAGAACTGAAACTCACTGTATTTACTACAAAATGTGCTTGAAATAGGCTGTTCTCGAGGGTGATTCTTGCTTTCTAACAAACTGGAAAAGAACTCAGCATGTGGCCGGGCCATAGTGGCACAGGTGGTGCCTCCCTCACTTCAGGGAGAAGCGAACACACACACACACAGAAACACACACACGCATACACACTCAGACTCAGACAAAGACACACAAACACAGACGGAGTTTTAATTTGATAACAATGCAAGATGCCTTTTTTTTTTCTTTCGATCCAGCATTTTGAACTCGAGATTCTCTTCTCGGAAGGGGTCGCATGGTTTCTTAGTGAGCTCCTGAAAAACAAATGCCATGACTGAACAGCCTGTTTTTACAGAGCTCAGCTGTCGGGGTCTGCTGCTTTAGCATATACTGCTTTAACTGGAACGTGGATTTGGAAAAAAGACAAACAAAAACAAAAGAAAACAAACAAAAAAAAAAGCATTAAAACGTTGGGGTTTCCTTTTCCAGTATTCCAAATTTTCTCGATTCTTTAACTTCTCTGCAGTGTCTAAAAGAGATGCAAGGAATGTGCAATTTGCTTTTTTTTAATTTTCTTTATGTTTCTTACGATGTTAATCCCAGTGCTGATGAGATTTGTTGACTTTGCCAACTGATTTTCTTTACTCCAAAATGCCTAATTTTGACCAGATTGGCGCGCAATTCAACAAAAATCTACCTTATAATGCAAGGAAATGATGAGAGTGTACAGTGTTGATGTGAAATGGGCTTATACCCCCTAACCCCTCCATCCCTTCCGTCCTTTCCTTCCCTTTCCTCCTCTGCTACAAGGCCTGCAGTATCTGCTCCAGACTAGCGCTGACCATGGTGCTGAATCACTTTCCTCTGCATCCTTTGTCTGCCTGTCCCCGTGCGTTAAGAACGTCTGTGTGTGTGGTGTGTGTGTGTGAGTGTGTGCGTGTGTGTGCAGGCATGCAGCCCCACACGTGTGCAGAGAGAGAGAGAGAGAGAGAGCTTATGCATGTATGTGCGACAACCCCCCACCCCAACCCCTCCTTTCCTGCGGCCCAAACATGCACAGCTTGACCTTGGGGACTAACATCTCAGCAGATCTGTAACCAACTCCTATCATCATCATCATCTTCATCAACTCCCTGCATTCATCCCCAGCCCCCTGCTTTTCCGTCCAATCACAACAGGGGTGGGGGGGTGGGGCATTGGGGTAACTATGTGTCTCTTCTGTGGAGTTATTACTGTGCCACAGCCCACTGATGATTTGTCATCATTTTCAAAACGCTGTGTTTCAAAGTTACATTTCTATGCTTTGCGATATTTGACCTGCTTCTATTTTGTTAAATAAAGTGTGGTTGAGGTTGAGTAAAAAAAAAAAAAAAAACTTACCATGTTTGCTTTTAGGAACTTTTCATTGGGTTTGAGTTGGTGTAATGAGACGTGTGACAGGTCTGTTTTTATCATCTGTTTCATGGCTTAAAAGCTTTACACAGGTACAACCCTAATTCCTTAAAAGCTAGGATGTAAAATGTTGATAAAAACACAAATTTTTAACTGTAAAGAGTGCAAAAACTACAGAAAAGTTGAATTATTTACTGTTATTTGTGCTTTAAATTGACTGTTGAGGCCCAAATGAGTGTTGGTTTACTAGCTAAAGGTGTTCCTAATATTTTGGCCTGTATATTTGTTGATGAAGTGGACAAAATAAGAAGAGTACCTTTCTCTGTTATACCACGAGCCATTGCGTTCAATTAGAAGTACTCTATAAGTGCAATAACCCCTTTCTGATTGAGTAAATGTAGAAGTTATCAGAGGGTGGATCTAGTGATAGCGCTGTCTATGATTGTATTTGATCACCCAGGTGTTAATACTGTCTTGACTTGCAAAGAAGAGGGATATTTTAGAATCTGTACAAGATATCTTTACCAAAACATTGCAAACTTTGAGCTTCAGGGAAACCCTACATTAAAAACAGACATGGCTCTGTAGTCACGTCTCTTAAAAATCACTCCTAAAACCTTTACTAGACTGTTAAACCCTTACAATTGTTGTTGAAAGAAGAAAGATGCTTTGTCCTAGTTTTTTGAAATGTGTAGCTGCTGTAGGATATAAAAGGAATGTAAAATTTCACAAAACAGACACCTGTTAGATGTCTTTGCACTATTTTCAACTAAATCAAGTGTTTGAATGATTAGCAAAGTATCAAATTCAGCTTTTATTAGCATTTTACACATCAGCTTAAACATACTGCCTTACGTATTTCTTCTTCAGAAAGGTAAAAGTGTCTAAAAAATGGTGAAAGAGATGTGATTTTATCACCACCCACTGAGGCATAGATACTTCAACTTCATGGCATCATCATATTTTCATATTTTATGATCTTGAGGAGAGTGTTTCTTGATTTCTTGGATGCTTCTTCTTGGGTCCCCTTGAGAGAAAATGACACATTTAGACTCCTGCTGCAGCGCCGGCTGTTTTATTACACAATGCACGACACTACAGCGTGATTGTGAATGCATCGCTTCATTTTTGGGTTTGTGAAACGAAAAAGCAAAAATGACACAGTCCAATAACTCTGACTGGTGCATAGACATTCAGAAGTCTTACGTGTTCTATGAGCGTTTTTATAATCAGAAAATTACTGCATTGCTTTTATGCAATGGGAGCCATTTCTACTGCTGTTATCTGTTATATAAATATACAGACTTCTCTTCTGTTTAATGGGAAAAATGCAAATGTCATATGTAGCAGCAAAGTGGTATATTTCCTATTACATTAGATAAAAGATCTTCAAAGCATTTCACTTCCTCTGTTCAAATCCACCAGGTATTGTTTGCCGCCAGGTGTTCCCTCGCTGTATAGTCCTGTGTGACTCAGTGTCTAACCGTAGGACCCATTCATTAATGCAATGGAAAATAGCTGTTGGAAACACAGCAGAGATGGGGCAGGCTCTTTTACACGCTGGGCACACAGCACTGCAACACTGCTGTGGCCCAGCAGGCCTGCCGTCGTTTGTGTGAGATCCCCCCCCAGGAGCTGGCAGTCGATGCAACACTTCCAGCAGGGATAACATCTTCCGCACACCTCATATACTCTGCTTTGGTGTAAATCTCTATGGTACCACTTTAGTTTAAGTCTGGGTCATTTAATCCTCCAGCTATGGAAAATACTTGATGTGGTGGAAGCTGTGCTTTTTTTCTGTGCTCTGGGGTGCTTTCTTTGGGAGGAAACACGAACCTGTGGTTGCTTGTGCTGGTTTCACATCAGTTAGAAATCCCATTACAGCTTGTACACCCACCTCCTACATTATCTTCTCTTATTTGTGCCACCTAAGGCCTATCTGCGTTGTCTATCATTTCTTATTTTCCCCCCAAAAAAGATAACATACTTTATTTTTAGAGTGAATCCCTTGACAACTGACTAAAAGATAGCAGGCAGGTAGCTTATAAAAGAAGAAAAATGCTACACCTAAGCCATATTCAGGCGGAGATGCTCAATCCCTGATGGGAAAATCAACCCCCAAAACACTGACCCCAGTCTTTAATTTTTCCATCAAGCATCCGTGGCTAGCTTTCATCTGACTCCCTGTAGCTGAATCGACTGTGTCTGCTCTTGTTTAGCCTTTGTGGAAATAAAGCCCCAAAAGATATTAAGCTGGGTATTCGCCTTTGATGTAAGCTTTGATGAAAGTCCCACGTGTCATTGCCAGTGAAGCTGCACTTCCAAACTCTGCGGCCACTTCAACCTTTCCTGCTGTTTCCAGTTCATATGGATGTGTAGTTATGATTATCTGGCATTATCTCCAGGGAATTCTTGGTGTTTCTCCCAGATATTATTATTAGCCCATCCATTGCTCAGCACTCTGCCTGTAAGTCTCAGTGGTTGGGTTTTATTAGTTCTTTGTGAGCCACATTATGGCGGGCATGGAACACTATTTATTCCTTAATGGTGTGTCTGTGGGTGGCTTTGGTTCAAGCTTGAGTAAAAGGGCTTTAAATGAAAGAAGGCAGTCTGTATCCACTCCTAGTTTGTGAAATATAATAGACTGGTCTATTGTGTTGGAAAGCATGGAAGTTGTGGACAATGTATGGCTCTTTCATGAGACGTGAGTGTTGCAAAAAAATAAGGTAAATGTTGTGTACCATTTCCTAGTCATTGGTTGTACATTTATTGGCTAATTCCAGAAGCCAACGCAAAAGTGCAAAAAGTTGCTGCTTCACGAGCATCAGTTAGGCCGAGTCAGCTTTTTCGATTTAGCCACTTTGGAAACTAATGGATGCCATCAATGGTGTACTCAAATCTCAATATAATCCTTTACAGAACCCATCCAAGTGCTTTTATTGCCTAAACCCGACCCGCATGTGTTTCTTTTTTTGCTGCGTTTAACACATCGCAGCTGCACCACCCTTAATGTGCCTCTTCTTGTCCAATCTGGAAAGCTAAATAGGGTTGGAGCTGGTTTGTATTTGGACGTAAAGGTAGAACAGTTTGGTTGATGGCGCAGTTGACATGCCAAAATGTCCTTTGGCGAAACCCTGAATTATTCCTGGTGACATAGCCAGCAGCGTTTAAATGGGGTTAGTTAAAACTGATGGGCACGTCATACAGAATCCACTGCCATCAATGTATGTGGTGTGAGTGGACAAAACTGTAAGTTAAAACATGACATATTTGTTGGCTGGCTGATTCCTAGTGGTTAATCTAATCAGTCTAATGATGTTGAATATTTGGCTTCATAACAGCTCGTCTTGTGAAGGGTGGAGCATCCTGGCTAGAACAAAGCATCCATACGTGGAGCAGCTCTAGTGGAAGTTGCACACACACTTCCCCTGGAGTTCAAACGTGGGCGGATAAATCAATCAAACCACAAGGGGCTCAAATATTTCAAACCTTTCCTCGCACGCCCTTGTCTGCTAGACAGACCATAGAGCAAACATCCTAAGTAATTAAAAGAACCTCAACTCATAATTGACCCAGATCTGGTGTCAACCCACTGCGCACCGGCCTGCGTCAAAGCACAAAGCCAGGCCCTTTAATCAAGATGAGTGAATGGCCCAGCGAGTGTTTCCTCCAGCTCTGAGTAATCCTCTTCTTCCAGCCCCCACTTATCGATTATCTCATTGATTTCATTTAGCAGCCACACACGTGCCCATCCCTCAGTGGCATTTCAGGCGCTCTGTGGTTCTACCTCTTGTGATTACACAGCTCAAATGGGAGCTACAGCTGCAATACCAAGTGTCTGAAGTCACCAAGTCACTTATTGGATGTATACTGTACCCGCACGCATGTCCAGGAGCTGTACACCGAGGCAATGGGACTTTTTTAATTCCCGGAATTTTCCTTTATAAACCCCTGGGAATAATTTCATTGCTTTAAAATTACCTGTCTGGTTAGAGAACATCTCAAAACTAGGCCAATGGAAAGTTAAGACGATTATGCTCTCAGTAAGAGCCTTTTCAAGTCCAGACGTGTTGTTGGTATACTTTCATATCCAAGGCTTCCCTCTGTTATAGGAGAGGTGCTGCCGAGTCTATACCCTTTCCTGGCTAGTGCAATGCTTATTGGCTTGGAAAGCACACCTCCCCCCTGCTGCTTTTATGGTCACTGACATACTTTCTGACATGGAGAAGGTTCTCAAGGAGCTTAATGAAAACCTCTCTGGCTTCCCCCCTCTCTGAGTACAATTGCTGGCTTATGTAAAAAGGACCGAGGTAGTGGAGCATCAGGGGCCATTTCAGGATAAAGCAGTTGGTCCCTGAATGTGATCATGTGCAAACAGCAGTGACTGCAATAATGCTTCTTTTGGTTCAGTTAATTCTGTTTGGTATCAGGGGCGGAAGCCTTTGCAAATCTATTACTGTGAGTGCACTGACCTTGTGCAGTAAAAATAGAAACATTTAAACTTTGGGAAGAGGATTTCAATCTTTGCTTTTGCATAATGAGCTGAAAAGGACTTACAGCTGTGTGTACAAACAATGACTACAAAGTAGAACAATGTTTTTCCCATTGCTATTGTGTATTCTTTTCAGCTGACGCCATTGAAACTCAATATGTAGAGCAGAAGTTCATTATAGAGGTCATGTATGAATGATGAGCATTTCCAGAAACGACTTTGCAAACAGATAAATGTAACTTTAGCAAACATGACCTCTGCAGCAGGGTTCCTCATGAAAAAGGATATCTTTTCCAGTTATAATAGGGGGACGAGGTGCGAGGGTGGAAGTCCTGATTCCAACCAAGCAAAAAAAACCCCGTACAAATCTGTACAAAAAACAACCAAACTATAAATCAAACCAATTTAAAGCAACCAAACCAAAACAAAGTAAGCAAAACAAAATGAACTAACCACATAAAAAACAGATCAAACAAAAAAAGACAAAACAAATCAAGACCAACTGAACTTTACTTAAACAAACCTAAAAAGAACACAAACTTTACCAAAACTAACCCAAACAAACCCTATCAAAACCAATTAAACTTTACCAAAACAAACATCAAAGGAACCCTACCAAACTTAACCAAAACAAGCCTAAACAAACCCTATCAAAACTAATCAAACAATTAACAAACAAACCTAAACAAACCCTATCAAAACCAATAAAACTTTACCAAAACAAACCTAAAAAAACCCTATCAAAACCAATTAAACTTTACCAAAACAAACCAAAAGGAACCCTGCCAAATTTTACCAAACAAACCAAAAAAACCCTATCAAAACTAATCAAACTATTACCAAAACAAACCTAAATAAACCCTTTCATAACCAATTAAACCTTACCAAAACAAACCCAAACAAAAGCCAATGAAATCAAACCCAGCCTAACTGATTACTGGACCAAAACCAAAACCAGAAACATTACACCAAAACCAACCAAACAAAACCAATCCAACTGAACTAAATTTCATCAACTTAACCCAAACAAATCAAACTAACCTTCATTAAGACTTAACAAAGAAGTCAAACCCATGAAACCAGGTGAAAGCCAACCAAAGATAACCATAAATAGATCATAAAGCTGTGATCCTTAAGGAGGTGTTGGGGTCTCTAGATACCTCCTCTTGCTGGCTGTACATATGTAACACATTAACAGGCTGTATGACTAAAATAATCGAACAATCTGTCGCTGGATATTTCCATCCATATGTGAGAGGCTGACAGACTGTGGGTCTGTTTTAGTCATGCTTTCTCCACCTTTTCTACTTTAAAGCTTAAAAAAAAGCAAACATCCTTTTCAATATGGGGTATAAAATATATATTTAAAAAAGTTTATGTGGTTTGTTGTTTGTTTCAGACTCACTGCTGTAAGACATCTGAATATGATGAATTGAAAATCATGTTTATTAGCAAATTTAATCAAATTAGATCGCTTTTGTGATGATAAAACATGTTAAATATTTAATTTTTGGTGCCTGTTAAGAGGGTCAGTACGCTCCAGGACCCTAAACAGAACATTAATTTGCTGAGTGTTGCATAATTAATAAATTAAGAACAGCTCTTAATGTATGATTAATCACAAAGTGAAAAAGTTAATTTGTATTTTTAATTGTGGGATGCAAGAAACCAGATTTCCTCTTGTAGTTTAATTTAGACTTTTTTAACTTTAAAACCTCACACTTCGTTTTTTGAATACATGGGTTTTGTAATACATTAATCATCTAAAAGCTCCACATTTGGCACAAAAAAAGGAGCTGAGATGTTAGAAAAATTGTGTTTATTCCCTCGTCTCAGATCCAGAATTGAAGGCTTTTACCTTGTTTGCCTATTACTTGTAACATGCGTTGACTTCAAGTTGAAATTCTGCAGAAATTCATCTTTTTCTTCATGATAATAATAACAGAAAAATTGAGACTTTTATATCCCCAGAGTAGTCCCTGATCAACTAACTAATCCAACTGTCACCGTTAACTCTTTCTGATATGATTCTGCGTGGTTTAGTTGAAGGCTTGGAGTGCCATTATTTAACTCTCATAACACAAGACACAGAGTGAATTTGTTTTTTTGGTAACATGAACATTTTTCAGAACCGAGTAAGAGACTCAGTCCCATTAAATTTAATTTTTTGCTTTCTGAATGGTACTTCAGTTAAGCTGCTTTTTATGCAGAACTTTAGTTTTTTCTTTCCAGTCTGAACTACTTCAAAGTTTCATGAATTGCAAAGTAGCGCAATTACCCTTGAAAAAAACACCTCGATCTTTTGTTACTGGCGCCGTTTCATCCCAAGGACGCTTTGCTTTTGCTTAAATGAGTCGTGTGTAACCAGTATTTTTGGTCTAACCTCAGATGAGCCTGAATAACCTTATCAAATATGTACATTTAGAAAGAGGGAGGCGTTCGGATTGCATTAACCCAATCTTTGACTACATCTGCATCTGATTTGCATCCTCGGTTACTTGAGGCAACTAGATTTTTTTTCCAATCATCCTCACACTTTTGCGTCGCTCATTACGAAGCTTCACAACCTTAAGACTTTGATTGCATGAATGTTGGGGATTACATTCATGAGACATATGTTAGCTTGTGCCCATATGCGCATGGAGTGAGCACATATGGTTTTTTAAGTCTGCGCCATAGGAGAATCTAACAGACTGATACTTTTTTCATCCGAGTGTGCTCTCAAACAGGTGCTTTGATTGAATATTCATTACAAAGAATTTACAATTCAAAGACAGATTAGCATTAAGATGAATGTAAAGTTTCAAAGGAGAGGACGGAAGATTGGGAAGCTTAGAGCTCTTATTTAAAAAAAAGTTGAAATCCACACAAGCTGAATGACATCAATTTGTTTTTTATTCCCTTTGACGCAACACCCCATTGTTTGGCATCATTCCTACTCATTCTGCACTATTTAGACACCAGCGTTTTGATTTTTTCGCTCCTTTGTCATTTTTTTGACGACTGACAAATCGATGCGTTCCTAAAGACAGGGTTTGGGGGAGGGATTGACTTCGCCTCACACCCACTCTGTTTAGGCTGACAGTTGGAGGCAGCCGGCAACAAACACATCATCATCCCCACCGCCAATAACAACAGCAACACCGAAAAAAAGAGCGAGCTAGAGAAAAAAAAACATCTGCTGACACCCGTTACTAAGCGTTTCAGCCGATTTTGTGCGCGTCCGTATTCGTCTTCATTCCTCTTTGTTAAATTTAGTTATCGCTGCGTTTTCCCCTCTTTGTGTTTGAGTGGGAAAGACACCAAGTGTGACAAGACTTTTCTTTCTCTGGCTGCTGTTGTCTCTGCTTTCCAAGAAAAAGTTCTGCTTCCCATCTTATTGCCTAAAGGATCTTCTTCTTTTTTATATTCCTCAACAAGAACATATCTCCCCATTCTCGCTTGCCTCTCTCTCTTATTTAGTTTTAGACGGAGCGTCGAGTTGTTGCTTTGCACCTCAGGCTATAGGGGCTCATACACAGGAGATGTGGGAATAGAAAACTGCAGCGACAAGCCATGTGCACAAAAATAGAACATGATTTAGATCTGTTATCATCATTAATGCACTTCTTGGTTATTTTTTTATTCAACAAAAATACAGAGCCTCTCTCATTATGAGCCACTATCGTCATAACCTCAATTCCTAAAGAGTGGAAAAGTTTCATTTGAAGAGTTTGATTCAGAAAGTCAGAAAACTCATACTGAGAGGTCATGATCTTGAAGCCATGGCATTAAAACTAGGCATGACTCTGCGGCGGAAGTCACCACATGAGCTCAAAATACCCTCCAAATCAGCGATCTTTGGATCCACAAATGCAGGTTTAGACCGAACCATGAATCTCATCTCTGACTGGATCTGGGAAGGCTCCATTATTTACAAGTTTTGAAGCAACATCTAATCAGTGCCTCCACAAGGAAGACCCTGCATAAAGCTACAAGTATTGTATTTTCCGAACTATAAGTCGCTCCCGAGTAGAAGTCGCACCAGCCAAAAAAATGCATCTTCTGCCTCTGATTGGCTATAAATGCCGACCATTTGGCTTAAGCGTGTGATGACGTTTCCAGCTTTTCTAGCCAATCATAAGTGAAGGAGGCCCGTCAAAATTCACCTCAGAATATTTTGTAATTTCGCATTCTATATTCACGTCGGCCCTGGTGTGTAAGGACCTTTAGTCACATTTTGGAAGGGAAGTTTATTTTATAAAATCCAAGATCAGATTATAGATGAAATTATATATTTTAATATATATAAGTCACATGTGAGTATAAGTCACAAACCCAGCCAAACTATGAAAAAAAGTGCGACTTATAGTCCGGAAAATGACAAACTACCTTGTACGGCTCTGCAGTAGAGGAGTCCTGGTCAACCTTTCATTCAAACATATTAATTTATTCCCTTAAATCCACCTGAAATCACACTAAATCTAACTAATAATCTGACTAAATCTTATCATAATAATGCAGTTGGGGATAGATTTTCTGCACATGTCCAAGTGTTTGCACGCCAAGCAGACAGTGAATAGCGTGAATGCATTACTGTGCTTTGCTGCAGTGGTTCTCAACTGGTCTCACTCTGGGACCCACATTTTCCCATGGTCCTTAAGTCGTGACCCACCTTTATAGAAATCAAACCAAGCAAATACATTTTTTATATGTAAAAAAACTTTAAAGACTCTAATCTTTAACATAAATCCACTTGTTTTACTGAGTAAAGTGCATTTCAGAGCACATGAAGGGGACAACATGAGGACGACAACTACTGAAGTTGCATATACAGAAAATATTGACTATCTAATAAATATCGCATTCAATATTTCCTTTTATGACCCATCCAGAACGTGTCTGCGACCCACTTTTGGGCCGGGACCCACCAGTTGAGAAGCACTGCTTTACTGGATACTTTCTTTCTGCTCAGACTTATCTGAAAATTAAGACTATGGTTTCTCATGCTGAAGAGAATCAACAGGCAAAGTAGAAATGTGCCTCCTGACCTGGCGCCCTCAGTGCTAAAGCACACACCCACACACAAAAACACAAACACATAGAAAATCTCCTCGCCCTCTTTCTCACACACGTACACACACACACAAACACACACAGAGATGCAAAAACAAATGCATGCCGGATAAATGTTGTCCTTAACCTGCCGTACTACAACCGCTCAGCAAATGCCAGCTGGGTCAACAGATGCCCAGAGCGTTCTAGCCTGCTCTCATCCAAAGAACAGTGGAGCTGTCGCTGCAGCACATGCACACAAACACACACACACACATACACACACACATGCATGGCCACATGCCTGCACATTCTGAGCTGAAGCCTACAAGCAGATTAGGAGGTTTTATCTTGTATTGTGTTTGGAGTGCTGGGATTGCAGCAAGCGGGGAGGTCAGAGGTCAAAATTAGTGGGTTCTGTGACCTGCTTCAAATGAATTCACTTGATTTAAAAGGGAATAAAATAGCATTAGACGGTATGGAACTAATTCTGTTATTTTTAGATCACGCAAGAGGCATAATAGTTTTAAAGGCAGAGGTACAATAATGAGCACTTAGGTAGATACAAGAGAATTAATACCTCTGTTTAGGACCAACATATGCAGCACTTATAGGGACGTAGCTTTAAAATGAATATATAAAAGCACTGCTGATACAGATTGGTATTTTATTACATTTCCAATAACATTTGTTTCGCTGACTCTATGAAAAATCCTGCAACTTCATCAAACAGACTGAACGGCTCCAAGTGATACAACCACAAGCAGCAGGAGACAGAGAAACAGTTTATTTACCCAAAAAGAAAGAAAGAAAAAAAATGAAATTCTTTTATTTTTTCTTCCATCTGTACAATGATTAGATAAAAATACTGGCTCTGTCCCAGTTCTCTCCAACAACTCATTCCTTGTTTTGAGTCATTCTTAGTTTGGGAAGCCGTCCAAAAAGATAGCTACAAGGCGTAGTGGTAAAATGACTCCACTATGGGATGAGACGGCACTCGTGACTCATACGAACAGAAGCCAGCAGTGGGAAGGAAGCCACAGATAAAGGCTGATTGTGACGATACGGAGAGCCAACTTTTTTAATGTTTTATTCCAACCTTCTGGTCTACTTTTTTTTCCTTTTGATGGGGGGTTTATTGGAAAGGTGGTATGGGTTGCGTCAATGGCAGGTGGCTGCTGAAGAAAGCTGTTGAAAGGCTTGGGTTCAGGGACATGACGTAGGGATGGCGAAGAGACAAGAATAGACGGTGGCATGACTTTAGGAAGATGGCATTTTCATCTTTACACGTGAAGCACAGGGGTAGTTTTTAAGAAGTTAGTTTTGAAGATATTTGGATTACAACTTTTATAAGACTTAATTTAACACTTAGAACTCCTCTGGATCGCCCGCGATCCCACGTGACTTTATTAATATTGTTTACAGTTTCTTGGGAACATACAGTGTATCTCTATGGGATAAAAAGTGTTCAAAAGCTTATCCTTTCGGCGATCTATCGAGGGTTTCTAGACATTTCTCCAACCTCTTACAAGGTTTACAATCCAGCCACAAAAAAAGGTGTTTGATCGAAGACATTTGATGGTAAATTCGCAGTGATATACCAGTAAAAACACGATTATTTATCATATTGCTGTATAAAAAAAGATCGCTATCGCTAAATGCCGCTCATGTCTTCCAGGTTTGACAAGCTGTTTTGATGACGTCTCTTTCTGTCAAACTTTCGACCAATTACATGGTCTCATATTCTTCTTCTATTGTTCCCTTGATGGTAGTGACCAATAAGAGGCAACCAAAGATCAACAAGAGACTAGAAAGTTCCCTGCTTGTCTGCAAAATAGGAAAAAATGGTCCAATATGATGTGGCCCTCTGTCTCATCCCAGACAGGAACTACTTCAAGGACTGGCATAAACTACTGTAAATACCAAAAAACACCTGGAAGAATTAGTGTAAATATGTGAATAATTTTTGTTGTGTGTTTGTTCCAATCCCAATATTTCTTCTCCTGATAGTCAAGACTTGAGAAAATGATGTGCAGGTGAGAAAAGGCTTGGTCACTGTAGATTTATGTGTTTTTTGATCAAAGTACTGTTGGTTTCAATTTCCATTTCAGTTTTTTGGTTGACTTTGATGGTTCTGAATCTACTGTTACATTCATTTTACATAATTTTTGCACCCATAAACTGACAGCTGAGGTTGTCCTGGAAAAAAAAAAAAAAGATGCGTATATATTTGCTGTGCTTTAAAGGATAGAGTTGCTACATAGAAAAAACGGCGAACCAAAAATAGTTAAATATAGCTGGGAGTTGTAAGGGTTAAGCACCTTCATCACACAGTGTTTCCACCACAATAACTGTTTGCTAACTTTATCTGTACACGGCTTTACATGTCACATTGGAGTGTCGCACAATGATGTCGCTCATGACACCCCTGTTCTGGACTGAAGCTTAATTTGGGTTTTATTAGCGTAGCATAAGTACAAGCACCCATGAATGTAGCGGTCTCCACCAAGTGAAATTAAAAGGGAGCCGAGCATTGACCCTTGAGGCACCCCTGTTGATAAACCTCAGCACAATCATCTTTTGTAGTGGGACATAAACGTTTGTAGGGGTAGGTCTAGGTTTATCAGATCGGCTCTAGCGCTTTCAAACAGTCATCAGTTTATTCTCAACACCTTTGCCAGTGTAGATGTGTCCCTCGTGGTTTCACCTTTTTTTTCTAAGCCTTCATGAACCTCTTTGGTTCTTCCTTTTGAGCTGAATTCAAAGAGTCAACCTTATGGTCTCCTCTCTTTGTCTCTTAAACTGGCTTTGACCCTAATGACTGTCAACAGTAGCCAGAAATAGATCATCAGCAGGCTTCATTTAACTTAAAAATTGACAAAACAACCAAACCTACTGACTGAAAGTGTGCTGACTTAAACTGTTGTCATCTTTATCAGACCCTTCATTATAATATTAAAGTGTTGATTTGGAGATTTCCCCCTTTATTTTAAAGTAAAAACTGCATTTTTACCAATGACCATTGTTTATAAAGCTCCGTTTGTCTGTGGTTAGCGGGCTGGTGTTCTGAGCCAGCCGGTGATTGTGTTTAACAAATACTAGCAATAGGAGAAGACCCCCGGGAATAGCTGTCGGCGGTTCTGAGTGAGACACAGGAAGGACTGAAGGGTGGGGGGATGTGAGGGGTGATGGCAGACAGGGAGAAGAAGCAATGTTCAGATGGCAAATAAGAGGAAGAAAATTTAGGTGAAAAAAAAAAGAAAATGAAACAACTTCAATTCCAAAGCACTTCAAACTGTATCCTATTTCAGGCGTCTGCTCATCTTCTATGACAGCGGGAGAAAGCAATATCGTACAGGAAGAAGCACAAGGAGCATGAACAATTGAGGGCCAGAATACATCTAATGGTGAATTCTGTCTATTCTTATATAAAAAGCAAATAAATCAGATGTACATTTGATAGCAAACATTCAGAATTTTTTTCCCTTTCAGTTCAGACAAAGAGGCCCCGATCTCGAGTGCTGCTTTCAGATATATGAATTTTTATTGGGGTTATAAAAGCAGACTGGAAAATCTTTGCTATTTGGATCAAGAGGTTTGAACTTCAATGAATCATCTGCTGGTTTTTACAACATGAAAATTAAAATGGGTATGTTTTGCCGAACACGTGATATAATATCACAGAGTGCGACTTTCATTCAGATGCAGATGTTTCCAAAAGGCTTGAAAGCACACCCAAAGACGAAGATGTTTACAGCCACAATATCGTATAAAATTTATCACACTACCCTGAATTGACGTCACATGATTTTCTCGTTTTCCCGTCCTGCGATTTATTTATTTATTTTTTCGTATCACGGTCGAATTTTCTAAAGTTTCGCATACTGTGTTTCCACTTCTGACCAATCAGATTTTGCATCGTCAGATTCACCGGTATATCCAACATGGCTGACCGGCTGATTGTTTACGTGTCGGAGAACAGAGTGCTTTTTGATAAAAGACACAAACATTTCTCATATGACGATGGTTTGTGTGCTTTAACAGTTTGCTAAACGTCTTTGTTTTTACTTTCATCTGTGCTAAGTAACTTTAGCTCGTAAGCTAACCTGTTCAGATACAACATACCATATGTATTTTCACCATTAGGTCACCATTAGGTCTCGGTAGTTACCTTACGTTTATGGATTATAGTTTCATGTGCTTATCTGGTACTTATGGGGTGCCGTTTGTAAAGCAGCCCATTATAAAAACAACAGCAAGATTTGGTCACATTTAGCTTCAAACAGCATTTAAAAGTGATGTGAAAAGTGATGTGAATTTTTGGCATTTTTTTTGTACATTTACAACAACATTTAAATACTAAAACTAAATGTTAAATGTTAAATCTAAATGCTAAATATAAATTTTAAATATATATGTTTAATCTAAATGTTAAATCTAAATATAAATGTTAAATCTAAATGTTAAATATAAATATAAATGTAAATGTTAAATCTAAATGTTAAATCTAAATCTAAATGTTAAATCTAAATGTGTTGGGCGAAACTAAATATTTAGCTAATATGCAAATTCACGGTCGGAAACCGGAAGTGCCAAAATAAAAGCTCCAGAAGGTCATAGTGATGATTCTTGTGTCGAAGAAAACGAATTAAAACCAATTTAATGGGGGAACAAATACTTGGGGTGACATTTAGTGTTGATGACTACCTACAATAGCAACAGCAACAACAAAAACTTTATTAGAAAGACTCGAGTTTTCAGTGTCGCTTCTCCGTGTGGCGCGGACACTGTACGAACACACGCACACACACATGCAGGCGTACACATGATGGTGTCTTGTCTTCTTGCTTCCACCAGGGACGCATCTTTTTCCCCCCGGAAAGTCACAAAATCGCATCACGCTTCATGTGTACAGTCAGGCGCGTTAAAATTCGCCTCCGAATATTTCGTAATTTCGCGTCGTTTATTTGCATCGTTCCCGGTGTGTAAGGACCTTGAGACTGCATTTTAAATCTGGCTCTTCTTTCCACACGTCAGATGGCATACAAAGCATGACTTGTGTTTTCTGTCATTGGAATAAAACCCCACACATGTTCACAATCGTGTTCATTTAACGTCTGGCAGCCGTTTTAGCACAGCAGCC